TGTAAATGAAGTGACAGTGACTGAGTACATTTTCGATGTCGTGAGAGAGAAATATCTACTGGTTGTTTTATTAGGAGCGTATACGTATGGGCTAATAGAAGACTTTCAGTGTAGACCTGATCTCATTCAGGCAACGGTTTAGTAAATTATTCCAATAGGTGTTTATAGATTATTGAGAACTAGATAAGAAAATCCCTCGAAGGACAGGAGAAAACCGAAAAACCAACATACGATGACAGCTCGTGGATTGAACCTACGGTCACATCAATGATAGTCAGCCGGACTAAATTATGATGTATACTTACCAACAACTATAAGTTCCGCTTTGTTATTGATTGAAGGTGATATTCTTAGCACCAAAGATATTCCATACCATCCACTGTCATTTTTTGTTACATTAGAAATGACCAAAGTAGCAACTGACTCTTTACTAACGCGAACTGTAGGGTACAGCAGTCTTGGTGGACATGTTCGTCGACTTATCGTCCACTTCCAACCACGCAGCCCATCATCAACTGCTATGACTGACTTAGTGCGTCCATTAGGCTTATAATAATACCAGACTGGAGATGAGATATAATGTCCAAAGTCAACCTCTTTGTTAACAACTGTGTAATTCCAATTGAATTTTATTGTATCGCCCACTACTGCGTATGTTCTTCCGAGTGGAATTTGTGTAAGCCGGGCGTTCGCAACTGCGACAGGAAAAAAAACAACAAACTGACGTAAATATATATTTTTTTGGGAGATCCAGTCATTTGCTTAATTCATTCAAATTACCARATTTAATTATTTTCGTAATTGCCAAATATGTCAGTTTTTTTTCTTGTTTACATCATTCTAACACGCATACAATGTACACTTTCAAAAGCATCAAGTCCAGTCCCTTCATTCCATCAATATTTCATTTTTATTTGGCAGATAGATTCACAATTCCTTCAATGTTGGATCACTCTCATTAGGAGCTCCAGTATCTCCAAATTTACTAAATGCATCAATACTTTTATTCTGTGTTGATTGAGATCCATTTTTTTTCCCTACGGTATTCTACACCAAATCGGTTGCGTTTTATTATCCCGTATCACTTTCTACAAGACCATAACATAAGCTATTTGGATGAGACTCATTCGGAACGTAATCATTTACTCAAATTCTAATA